ATTTTGCTTAATGTCTGTGCAGAGAAGAGCTCCTTATTGCGTAAGACAAAGTCTGTTATCTTCACAAATAGTTCGGTAAGCATTTTGACAAGAACTTCACATATTCACTTCAATTATTTTTTATGTGATAGGAGGGATGCTTGAAAAGTTATGTTGAGATTACTTGTTATGATTTTTAGTTATGCTGATCATCCAACTTTGTAGGAATACTGTTTGGATCAGCAAACCAAGGGTAAAAATTACAAGTTTTCGTAGGTTCTGTGATCAATTAATTAAGTTTTTACATTGGCAAAAAATTATCTACCACCTGATATTGCCTGTAAAGTGCAGTTACATAATATCTGGGGTACGCTGCTATCTAAAATTTTACCTGGCAGGACATATTGTATCCTTCTGGTTAATATAGTAAGTTGCGCTTACCTATTAACCTTGGAATCAGCTTACTAAATTTCTGATATAATCAAGCATGAGTATGCTCTACTTTTCTTTTATTTGCTAATAATACAACCGAAGCTCTTTTATAATTCAAGAAATTCCATCTCTATGCTCGGTTGCATCCTCTTTAAAGAAATTTACAACCTGTTGTTGCTTTCGGATGCTGTAAAGTGCAATTACATAATATCTGGGGCCTGCTGCTGGCTAAACCTTTATCTGACCGAACATATTGCAACCTTCTGGTTAATATAGTTTGCTGCGATTGCCTATTAACCATCAGCTTATAGTGAATTTATGATATAACCAAGCATGAATATGCTCTATTTTTCTTTTGTATGCTAATGACACAAACAAAGCACTTTTAATTCACGAAATTCCATGCATATCTATGCTTGGATGCATCCACTTTCCGTGGTTTCATTGGTTGCAGTGCAAGCACACTTTTTCAAGTTCAAAAAGGTTTTGTGATCTAATTTAAATTGATCATGCTCTTTCGATCTAAGAACTCCGTGTTATTGCTTAGGTGCATTCCTTTATGATCATTTCTTTCATTTTCATTTAGATACTCTCATTTTTTTTCTTTCAACTGCTAGGTATGCAAATTAAAGCTAGGAGATTTCAAGGGTGCCCTGTTGGATGCTGAATTTGCATTGCGAGAAAGGGACGGGTATGGCAAAGCATACTTTCGCCAGGGTCAGGTTAGTGTCCTTATCTTTGCAACCTTTACATGTTAGTGTACCAACTACCATAACTTCATTATATTCGGAATCTATAATCGTAGGTGGGTTAATCATGTGTTAATAGCATTTTCTCCTTGGAAATTGAATTGTTGCTGGTTCAATAGTCAATTCTAGGCGTCTAGCAAATTATGTTATTAAAGAGCTAAAACATTATGGGATGACGGACAAATCTACCAATCATCATTCATCAATGACATGACATGATAACTGTAATTTATTTATAGTTGCAGGTTGCTTAATAATAATCATGAATGTTGAATAGCATATTAACATTAATAGGTGTAGTTATGATGAAAATAATATCATATTAACTTGGCATTTTTATCTTTTATTCAATTTAAAACTTTTTATGTACTTCCTTATCCTTAATTAATCTTGGTTATACTTATCATCATAAATTACTGTTATTTATTTAAGAACATTGATAATATTTATTTGTTATTTTTTGTCGTTCTCCTGTCTGTTGTTGTCTTGTTTTAATTTCTTCCGTTATCCTTGCTATTGAAGATCTTGTTATGTGACTTGAAGCATAGTAAGGTGTTGTTCCCACTAATGAGATTATCACAACTCAAACAAATAATTTCAGTCAGTGTTGCTGGTAGATTTAGAGAATGAAAGAGATATTCTAGTTAACTCATGTATAGTGATGCAACTTGCGATCCAGTTGACTTCTTATGTTGATGACATGATGGGCGGTAACTAACTTTGGCCAGCTCCATGGTCTTTTTATCGATACATATTTCATCATTTGCAGCTATTTTACTGGTAGTTGTAGCTATGGTTGGAAGGATTTATGTTAGTTGATATCTTTCTTTATATATGAGAGTTCTGCAGCTATCGTACTTAGGAAAAAAAATTCTTTCTCTAGTCTGTTCATTATCATTAATACTCCTATCATCGTTATTTTGAGCAGAAATATATATAGGCTATATAGCGACTGCCCATGCTATGGGTGGCTAATTTTTAGCATTATAAATTTTCCAGGCACAAATAGCACTGAATAATGTGGATGCTGCGGTAGAAAGTTTCAAAAAAGCACTAGAATTGGAGCCAAATGATGGTGAGTTCTCTTCATAAATTGTACTTTTTTATTATTTCTTGAGCATGTTTTTACCATACTGATGTGTTGCGATCTCTCTTAAAAATATATGTTTGTTTGCAGGAAAAATAAAGGAGGAACTTGCTGCTGCGAAGAAGAAGGTAAGTGGAATTATGAGCCCATTTGACTGCATCTTCAATTACTTGAAGATTTTTTGACTAAATGTGATTACAGATTGCTGATAGGAGGGACCGAGAGCGAAAGGCTTATGCCAAAATGTTCGTAGCAGCAGCTAAACCAGGATCAAATAATGAGGTAATGAAAACCTTGGTGAATATCTACCTATCATTAGGTCTGCAGTAGGGAGTAATAATTGATAATATAGAATAGTTGTTCTGAGAAGGAAGATTCTATTATTTTCCATGAGGTTGATTGGCCCACATAGCCCCCCCCCCTCCGCCGGCCCCCCCCGCCCCCCCCCCCCCCAGTATTGCTATTTGACATTTACTGCCCCTTGAGTTTGATGTTGCCAGACCCCCTCTGTTATTCTTTCGACTCTTAACTTTTTTAGTTTTTCGGCAAACAGACCCTTGAGGGTATAAAAGTCTAGAATGTTTCATTCAGTGGGTGTAGCTACCAATATTGACCTTAAGGGGAAATAAGTGTTACAACGCAATACTAACATGGGGTCTTTGTCCAATTAACCCTTATTTCAATAGCAGCTGGCATGAATCTGGTTTTGTGTTCCGGCGTTTTCATATTGCAGGAAAAGCATTGATGAATTTGATTCATCCATAAAATGTTTTCTTCACATGAGGGTGTCAGTTTTTTGTTGCCATAGATTCAGGTAATTGTATTCCGAACTACCCTGTTGCTGTTTTCGTCTTATGATATGAGCAGATTGGCTTGTACTGAGAGTTATGTTACCTATCTGCAGGTTTTTGTAATGAGGTCGATATACTGAAGATATGTTGTTGATGAAAACAAAAATTACATTTCTTGAACCATCTTTTGTGTTGGGAAACATGCAGTAGATATATTGCTATGAATGTGGTTTACTGTATTTGGGTAGAGATTTAGCTGCTGTTATTTCAAATATTGAGTTAGAAGTGAGAACATGCGCTGAACGTTCATTAGTTTTGTGAAATGGATAGTTTGTTGAACAATTATCATATATCTTTAACTTGTCAGCCTTTTTAGATGTTAAATAAATTTCACTCTCTTTCTTAATCATTTTGTGTCAATTCTGATCCTTTTACAAAGTGACGACCAAAAATAAAGTTTAGAACTTTTAATTCTAGAATAACTCTATTTCTAACTTATCAATTAAAACAACATGCAGCAAGTTATTACACACACGTCTCAAAATGAACTGGTATAGGGGTGAATCCAACCAGCCTCAATTATCTTTTATACATCTTATCTTTGATTTGGTTCGTTTTTAGTTCTCAGCTTATTTTGTTTCTCGAAATCAATCTTAGTAACTCAATTCTATATTCAAATCATCTTCGCCATGCCCTTTCATCAATGAACATGTTGCGCTGTATTTTCCACACAAGGACGAAAATAAAAAGGCTAATCAGCACTTGAACACCCTACAGTTTCCCTAGTACGCACTCCTGTACCCTCACATGTTTTAAGTGCTAAAGTTTTCTAAAACTATTTGTTAACTATATCATGTACCGGTTTAATATATTCAACACATGTTAACACTAGTCACAAAAACATGATTATCTAAATGTTGGTCATCCAAGTGTACTGTTAACTATATCGTGTATTAGTTTTAATTTCCTCTCAATCTCACAGTCTCCTTTGATCATGATTCCTCTCACAATCTTGCAACATTAGAGATTATGTGGCTATATCTGAAAATGTTTAAAACAAAATTAGTAAAATATACACTACAAGTTATAGTTTGAGTTTAAAATATGCACCATAAAATTAAACTATGTATGACATATCATTAACAGACCCTCACAGTTATAATATAAACTTAACAGATACTTGATTAGTTAACAAATATGACCTAACTTTAATAGGCATGATAGAACCTTAATAGGTACTTCGCAACGTTAACAAGAATTATATAACTTTACCTAATTCATGTTAACGATATCAATTATTTGTTTGTTAGAAGTAAATAAATTAAACAAACAAAGTTAAATTTTAACAATTTAAGAGTTAAGAAACCCTTAATAGGTACTTTGTGAATTTTAACAAACATATATTAAAAATTACCTGATATTTTACATTACATAGTCTTATTCTATTTCTCCCCTTCCTTTTAGTAGTAATTGGTGGCAACATCCCAATCTCATCTTGTGGTAAACTACAGTTTTCATAATTCAAAATTCAAAATTTAACAATTACTCAATTATTCTTAATATGGAATAGGTAAATGTTAACAGTCAATTAGCTATAGTTCATATGTATTAGGTAAAATATAACAGTTAATCTATTAAACATAACATTCAAAAGTAAAAAAGTCAACAACTACTCAATTATACTTAGCATGGAACATGTAAACGTTAACAATTTATCAGCTATAGTTCACATGTGTTAGGTAAAACTTAATAGTTAATCAACTAGACTCAACATTTAAAAGAAAAAAAAAGTTAACACTTCAATTATACTTAACATTTAACAGGTAAATGTAAACAATTAATTAGCTATTGTTCACGTGTGTTAGGTAAAATTTACAATTAACATACTAAATACTATACGTTCATTATTTCAAATAAATATTTTTGTATGTAGAATTTTATTTCTGAATTACCAATTTACATCTATTATTTCAAATGAATATTTTTGTATGTAGGTTTTTATTTCTTAATTACCAACGCATTATGTCCAAACTACATATTATTCTCAAGCCAACAAAGTGATCTATGTACAATAAAATTTAAAAAAAAAAAGACTTATCCTCTCAATAATATCTCTCGTATCCTATGAACGACCAACAAAATAAAACAACAAAAATCATAGTAATTTGAGCTACTTCTTTTGATGAATTCAACCTTTAATAGTATAGCTGAGCTTCAAGCAACAAAATTCTTATGTGGCATTTCATTAAACACCTTTCTTGCATCCAACTACCATCTGAACTTGAAGTGCCAAAACACTAACCCTAGCCTCCAATTCTGCCTCGACGCCTTATTCGGCCCCCAAGCCTCCAATTTTACTAGTGGGCATCCGCACCTCGCTCGAAATAGCAGCACAGCCCGGCCATTGACCAGTGCCATCTTCCGCAGCTCCACGTGCAAAACCCCATAATCGAGGTTCCTCCACTATTGCCCACCTTTCCATAGCAGATGTTCAATCTGCTTCCACTCCTTCCCCTTCTCCCTCACGCAATCATCGGTCTAAAATCAAGACATTGAACTCTATAGCATCTTCTTCAAGTCCTTGCATCTAACGCTTCTGCACTAGTGAGAGTAGAATCAGGAGATTCTGAGGAGGGGGCAAAGGAGGAGGAGGAGGAGGAAAGAGAGGGGTTTGATGGTTAAGGTTAGAATTAGGATTTGGGAGAAAACTTAGAGGAGGTGGGAGAGAGGAGAGGATGAGGAAGGAGCAGAAGAAGGGGATGAGGGAATAAGGATCAGGAGGTCAAGGGTGGCGATGGGGGAGGAGTGATTACAGCAGGAGGAGAAGGAGGTGAGATTGCTTTGGCTAAGATTTTGGTGCAGAAGAAGAAGGGGGCATTTTGATGGAGAAGAGATGATGGTGCTTTTGAGTGGGTGGAGAGGGTTAAAATAGGGAACATAGAGAAGTAAAGTTGGGTTTTTAGGTCAAATACGGTGTGAACATTTGGCTTAGACGATGGGGGGGGGGGGCTAACAATTAAGGGCTTGAGCACGATGGGCAAAAGTATGAAGGGCTTGGTCACATGTGGTTCTCAACGGGGCCTTGACAGAACTTTCCCTTTGAAATTTAAACACCTCGACTCCTAACTACTCAAGTCAAGTTATAATTAATAATAATTAAAATTTTCAAATTAAAATATTTAGGCATGAGAAAGAACCAGCTTTCTCCTTCTCTTGTTTTCTATTTTTGATATTATTTAGTGGCATTGTGTTTAATTTTGTCAATATCGAGAAAAACAAAACCCTTATTTAGTGCAAAACTGTAGCTTTTATTGTTCTTTGTTGTAGTAGAGGAACTAATTTGATGATTTATTGTTGTTGGATTCTTGAAACTTTTAAATCTAACTTGTTCTTGTATTTTTTTTATTTTTTAATCGTAGTGCTTTATTTACCATCGAAAAAATAAAGGATGAATTTCTTGCAGATAGTTTGGTTCTATATATTGAAAAAGAAATCACAGAGACATTTGATTTAGATTCATTACTTAATGATTTTGTTTCTATAAAAGAGCATCGTTCACGGTTTTAGAATTGATTTTATGTAATTGTTATGAATTCTATGTATTTAACTTTTTTTTACTAGTAGTTACTATTTGATATAGTCTTTTATTTTAGACTAAATGGCACTTAAATACCTTATAGTTTCGTTCTCTTAGAACTTGTATACCATCAATTGTATTTCGTAGCATTTATATACCCTGAGTTGGTTAAAATTGGCACGTTAATACCCTATGTTTTTCAAATTTAAAAAATTTTATCTAAAAGTTCCCATATAACATTTATGTGCTAATCTTATAACCTTATCTCTATTAAGTTTTTTGAGTTCGCAAATTCTATTTTTGCAATAGAATTATGAACATTTAAATTAAAATTTGGATAGGTTTAATAATGATCTAATAAATATTAATGGTTAAAAAGCTCTAAATTTAACATGTGGATGTTATGGGAACTTTCAAATAAAAAATTTCGCATTTTTAAAACATAGGATATTAACGTGGCAATTTTGACCAACTAAGGGTATATAAATGTTACGAAATACAACTGAGGGTATATAAGTGCTAAATGAGTGAAACGATAAAGTATTTAAGTACTAAGTAGTCTTTATTATATTTTGAAGCTTATAGGTATTTTGGTCGTCCTGAACTCAGACTCTTGGCTCCGCCACCGTGATCCGCCGCAGCCAACAGAGCAAAGAGGTACAGGGATGCTATCAAGGATCGAATTAGGCTGCTATAAGTATTTCCCATAAGCGAAGAGTGCCGCCGAAATCTTGAAGGAGACGCTGAAGGCATTCAAAAACCTTTACGGTTATTAACTTGATCTATGAGATTTCATTTTCAAATTTGGTGCCTTATTAACTATTTATATATATATATATATATATTTTCAGTTCATGTTAATCGAAATTGGAGCAAAGGAGTAATAGCCAATAGGTAGTGGATGGTTTTTTTTAATTTTTATTTTTTTAGAAATGGTCGAAGCTCTTATATAGTGGACGACTAATTAGTAGTGTGGACTTTCTATACGTAGCGAGTTAGTATGTATGGTCCTGGACTTGGTTCCAAATTTTGTGTTGTCTTTGTAATTAAAGTAATCCAATGGTATATTTAAATTATTACATTGCATTTAATTTTCAGAAACTTTATCTAGTTTCATTTGTTTGAGACTTTTTTTTTTAATTCTTTGTTGAAAATGGTAATGAATATAGGACAAATTTTCAAAAACAACCCGTTTAGAAACTTAATCTCAAAAAACGACTTATTTAGAAGTTTTTTTTACCAAATTAGACACAGTTTCAGCCAGTTGGCTACCAGTTGGCTAAAACGGAGTCGAATTTGGTGAAAAAAAATTACAAATCTTCACGGGACTTCAAGTCCCGTGAAGTTTAAACGCCAAATAATCAAGTTTAAGAGGGTTTAAACTTGTAGGTTTTTTCACCAAATTCGACCCAGTTTTAGCTCACTGACTGAAACTGGACGGAATTTGATAAATATTTTTCAAATAGGTCGTTTTTTGATACTAAGTTTCGGAATTGGAGTACATAAAAAATTTGTCCTTGAATATATGTAATGGGTACGGTCTGTACTTTAATGCAAAAAAGGACACATTAGACTATCTCTCGCTACTAATGACGGATATAATTACTAGGCAGCCTTTATCGAGGGAAGAAACCCAGAG